CCCTGAGTTATGGCAGTGCAGACACCCAAAGCCAGTTCCCATGTGGAACCAACTACAGGTCTTCCAACAGCCATCCCATGCTCCCCAGGCTTAGTTAGCCTGGGGACATAAGGTGGTGGTTGTCATCTCCTGCCTCTTCCTGTTGCTGCCAACTATAGCAGTGATAGGGCTACCTACCCCGTGCTTGGCAGTCCCTCTTCCTACAGGGAAGTAGAAGGAATAGCAGTTTGGCCTCTGTCCAGTAGCACTGAACTGGTTTCAGCATGGCTGGGCAGTAGGGATGCCTTCCTGCTGCCGAAGTGGCTCAGGGTGTCCTGAAGAACACACAAGCCACAATGACAAGGTGGCAGTCCATCAAAGTGGACCAGTGGCAGTTACCTTTAGTGTACAGCTCACAATAAGTACCAAACTACATAAATATATTTTACCGTAAAAACTGCTGATGCTGATTAATAGCTTCTGAGAGACTGTCAGGCAATAAATTGACTGGGTAGATTACTTACATGTTGAGTGAATGTGAAAATCAGTTCAGATTGAGTCTAATCCCAACTATACGACTTTACGTGATGCTTGCATAACTCTGGCTTCCATGAATACAACTGTGCCTCTTTATTTTGACAAGTCAAATTACTTAAAGTAATTGCCGCTTATTCTATTAGTTTCTTTGATAAGTCTGTTGTTACTTCAAATATAATTACCTTCTGAAAAATGTCTAAAGCCAATAATACTAAAACAGGTAAAATGAAAAAGTAATTTACATTTAACATGCTGAACATTTTAACCAGTTTGAAATTAACATTTGGAGAGTCAAGAGATTTTAAAAAAATAGAGATCTAGTGGTCTGATGTCAGTGGGGTGGTGAATCTGCTTCAAGTTTTAGTTTGAAGTTTAAAGGAGATTTCCAAAATTATAAATTCTACCCATTAAATAGGTTTAGTGCCTAATTTTTGAACTAAAACATGGAGCATGGTTAATATTCCTTTGACATCAGAGGTGATCATCTCCCTAAGAAACTACACTGAAAAGAAAAACGAGATGGACAGACTTGTAGATACTCCTCACACTTACATACTAATTTATAATTGATAGATACATAGAGAAGTGAAAATTTGTAGTTGATTAACAATGCAAAGCTGGTTCCCAAGGGAAAAAAATGCTGAATTTAGAAACCACTGAATATAGGGAAGAAGAGGTAAAGGAATTCTAAGTGCGTTGGATCTATGGAAAGGATCAGTCGCACCTTCTAAAGTATAGCGAGTAGGCTTGGTTGACCCCCCTCCCCCCAAAATGGTTCAAAACTCGTTTCGGATGTAGAGGGCACTGGTGGTTCAATTCAGAATTGAATTCTGAATCCCTCCCCAAAAAATTCAGAACTTTCCAAAATTTCTGAATTGCTTCATTAATGGCGGACGCAATTGCGCAATATGCGAAATACAGCAAATGGTACTGGGCAAACTTCAGGGGAAAGTATGGATTTGTAGTGTCTTTTTAGGCAATGCACAGCAATCAAAGAAAAAAAAAAACAAACAGCCCTGAGAGCTTTTGGGGTCTTGTAAGCTGATTTCACAAGTTAGGGAAGTATTGGCTTGAAAGTATGGGATTTGTAGTGTCTTTTCTGGCAACACAAGGCAATCAAAGGAAACAAACAGCAGGCAGAGGCCTTTGCGGTTTTGGAAGTTGATTTCACACCTTTAGGAAGGATATTTTGACTATGTATTGTCGAAGGTTTTCATGGCTGGAATCACTAGGTTCTTGTGGGTTTTTTCGGGCTATAGAGCCATGTTCTAGAGGCATTTCTCCTGACGTTTCGCCTGCATCTATGGCAAGCATCCTCAGAGGTTGAGAAGGTCTCAACCTCTGAGGATGCTTGCCATAGGACCTTCTCAACCTCTGAGGATGCTTGCCATAGATGCAGGCGAAACGTCAGGAGAAATGCCTCTAGAACATGGCTCTATAGCCCAAAAAAACCCACAAGAACCTAGATATTTTGACTATATGGGATTTGTAGTGTCTTCTCTGGCAACGCTAAGCAAACAAAGGAAACAAACAGCAGAGAGAGGCCTTTGTGGTTTTGGAAGCTGGTTTCACAACTTAGCGAAGGAGAGTTTGTGTTCAAAGAGTGGCTTGAATTGATGGGAGATCTAGTTCTATTGAGGCAATGTACAACACAGAGGCCAGGCCAGAGAGACCTGCTACAACGCTCGGGCTTTTCAAATGTTGTAGTGCTTTGTTTCCTCCATGCTGTTCCTTCCTTCCACCCATGCCACGCCATGCACCCTCACACCCCAATATTACCCACCCACGCATCTCCCGCCTGTCCCAAACCCCAACAGCAACAACACACAAACGGCTGCAAGGCAGGCAGGCAGCCAGGCAGGCAACAGCCCTTCTCCCTGCCCTGGTTCTCTGCTGCACTGCTCTTCTTCCACCCTAACAACAAGAACACAAGCAGATGCAAGGCAGCCAGCCAGACATGCAACAGCCCTTCTCTGCTTGCCTTGCTGTTCTTCCAACCGCTCTTCTTCCAACCTCCCTTCACAACCTCCCTTCCCTTTCCCTTCCCTTCTCTCTTCCCTTCCTGGGCTCACAATGAGCCTCTGAGCCATGTGCTGCGCTTTATATAGTGCAATGGCTACCATGCCAAAACCCCTCCCCAAAACCTCTCCACTCATTGGCTGAGATGCAAGCAGCTTGCATGCTGGGAGGTGGCTTGCCTCCAAACACTGACTCATTTCCGACTCACTTCCTGAATAATATCAAAAATGTCGACAGAAGCTTTGAAAGGGCAAAGGGACTTCCTGTTTCTAAAATAACTTCAGAATCGCTTCAAACAAGTAACTTTTCTGACTTTATTCCGAATTACAAGTATTCCTCCCTAAAGAACTAAGGGCTGTTCCACCTTTGCTCAGCTTTAAGAAGGGGGTCAAGATTTCTTTTTTAAATTGTTTCTAATAAAACAATTTTTAAAAAAGATTTCTTTATTTAACAAGTCCTTTAATTGAGACATGGCAGGAGTTGGGGGTTTTATGATCAGGATGGAGGAGGGATACATGGAGGAGGAGGTTATGCTTTTAACTGAAATGTGGGGTTTTATTGATTGTTGTCTTATCATGGTTTTATATATTTTGTTCTCCTGGATTTTAATGTTTGTATTCTGTTTGTAAGCCACCTTGGGTCTGTGTTCCAGAGAAAGGTGGGATATAAATATCCTTAATAAATAAATAAAAACACTAAAAAAACATTTTAAAATTTAAAACCTACAGCATATAAATACTAAAATAGAATCAAATATAAACATTATTTAAAAATAAATTGTTAAAATAGCATAAATCCACTAAAAACTATTTAAATGCTTTCAATGCTACACTAAAATACCTCAAATAACTCCTCGCTCGTTCTTAAAAACTCACTCATTCTTCTTTAAAAATGTGCCTGAATTAAAAAAAAAGTTTAGCTTGCCACTAGAAGGGCAGCAGGGAGAGGACCATTCTGGATTGCCTAGGCCGATAGTTCCAGAGTCTTTGAGCAGCCACTGAGAAGGCCCTCTGATGCTACCAATGTGTTTGTGATGGTGGTGGGACTGAGAGAAGAGCTCATACAGGGAGATACGATCAACCAAAAACCCTGGACCTGATCCTTTAAGGGCTGTATTGGTCATTACCATCACTTTTAATTGTGTCCAGAAACAAACTGGCAGCCAGTGGAGTTGTTGGAACAAAGAAGTTGTGCACTTCTTGTGGCTAGAGCTGATTAACAATCTGGCCACAACTCTTTGGACTAGCTAAAGTTTCTGACCGCTCTTCAAAGGTAGCACCAAGAAGAGCATACTACAATAATCCAAAGGGGATGTAACTAAGGTTCTTGCCAAGCTATTCCAAACAAGGGCTCTGCACAACTGTGAAACCCATTTGTGTGAGGACAGCAGACCACTCGAAGAACCACATTTACAGATAAAAAACCTGCTTGTCTTAAGAGTTTTCTGTGGGTACTCAATAGTGTATAAAGACAGAAAAGATCTTCAACTCGCTGAACTTTGAACTGGTGGAAGGAAACTTCTAATTCCTTCCAGCCAGAGGGTCTGGGTGCTAGTATAGCTATTTTATTCTTGAGTTCATTCTCATTTATTTAAATTAAAAGGAGTTCCTTTTGTATAAAAATATATATTAATGTTGTTTATTTTCCCACTTATGCTTATTGTCATCAAATAGTTCTTATGCAATATTTCAACTTCATTACTCATGCAAGTAATCATTTCATGTTGGGTCAATGGAAGATTTTTTTTAGCATCATTTTATTGAAATTAAAATTAACGTATGGTTTATTACTAGAGGAAAATGAATTATTCTGCTTTGTTCCATTCTAATTATTACTATTTAAATATCACATTTACATACTATTGGACAAATCCACCAAATAGTTCCTGTGTTTTATTAATATTTCCAACCATGTAGGGAGCTATGGATGTTCAGGTTTGGGTGGGGAACCATGAAGATGCTTCAGGCTGTATTTCAGAGGAAGGCAATGAGAAATCACTTCTGTGTAGTCCTGGTCTTTAGAAAATCAACAAAATTAATGGGATTGCCATAAATTAACAGTTTATTTGATATACACACATCTATCTGTTGTGGCAAACTGCTATCTATATTAATTGAATAGATTCACATTCATATTCATCAATTTAATTTGAAACCAGTGGAAGAGTATTCCCAACAATTCATTATCACTGCCTTGTGAATTGAGTTCATGTGGTACATACAGTACCTGTTAAACTATTAAACAACAGACATAAATATTATTGTCAGTTATCCAATTATTCTAGCATACCTCAAAAAGAGCAATCAGTGAATTTTGTTTGATAGATATGAAACACTTTTTAAATTTGACATCATGATTATTTTAACCTCTTCTGTACTATGCCAAGCAGCCAACAGTACAATAAATAGTATTTCGATAATACAATGTATATTTTAGCTGAAGTATTAATATTGGTATTTTATTAGTTCTCTCTGAGACAGAAGTTATACTGAAAGATTTGGACCGAATACTCAAGCATGTTGCAGATTCCTCCAAGCCTTCTTTCAAGTCATTTTCGGATGGGGAAGACAAGAATTTAAGGGAAAAGGTATAAATTATTCATAGACCTTCTCTGCTAAATGCTAATAATTGGAAAATACTTTAACCAAGTTCTTATTTTGGCTGAGAAACAACATTTTGAAATATTTACTGAGCTTATAACAAATTTACAAAAAGTATTCACACCAGATTCTAACACTGTACACATTTGGAAATCAGAATATTGTTTAAAGAGTAAATTTGTTAAACCGTGTGCTTCTCAATAAATAGAAACACATGCTTATGATGAAACAACTTCTGAAATTAACATTTATCACAGGGATTCCAAACCAAGGAAGCTGCATCCACTGATAACCTTGTTATTATTTGCCTTTCACATACCTTCATGTGACACAGCTGTCTTTTTGATACTGCTTTGCCAAGCCAAGTTCAACATTGAACTTTATGTTTTGAGGGATCAAGGAACCTACAGAATTCAGAGATACTTCAGTAAAAGAAAAAGAGAGAAAGAAGATTGGTATTTAGAATTATTCCATTATAATTCCTGGTCATTTCCCAGATACACTACAGAAGAAACCCAAAGCATCACACTTCTTTATGTAGAATTCTAAGAAACTTTAGGTCAGTGCATACATTCATCAATGAGGCTATGGGATGTGCTTTAAATGTTTCCAGTTTTGCACAGACAAAACATGTATGTGCCAAGACATAGAATGATTCATGTACACATACCAACCATAGAACTGAATCACTAGAATTTGTTTTGAAATCTGCATGTTTATTTATTTATTTATTTATTTATTTATTTATTTATTTATTTACTGTATTTGTATACTGTCCTTCTCAGTCCGCAGGTGACTCAAGGCAGTTTCTGGGAAACCGCTGTTTCTGGTTTTTGGAAAACCACTGTTTCAAAGACAGGAACATGTCAATCTTTTTTATTTAGTTAGTTATGTATTCATTATATTTCTAAACATTTTCCCCACAAAACTTCCATTATATCCTCCATCTTCCTTCATTTATATTCTGTTTTTCCCATAAGGGCATGAACAGAGTGAATCAGCAAATAATAATATTAAACATATTATTTAATAATAATATTAAACACACTTAGTGATAAAACATTGAATAAAAGAATGCAAGTAAATTAACTGAATCTTGCAAGTTAGTACTGAATGGGAGAGGAAAAAAAGTAATAAAAATACAGTACTCACAAAGACAAAGAGTTCTTCATTTTGCAGATACAACATGGAGTTGTCCACAATTGACCTAACAGCGGTCTTCCTCCCTGTTCTTTTTTGGATCTCCTCTCTCAGTCTGTTCCCTTTTCTCATCTGAGGGGGTAGGAGCCCCTAGTGATGCAATGGGTTCAACCCTGGTCAACCGGACTGGTCAACCGATAGGTTGGCGGTTCAAATCCGGGGAGTGGGCTAAGCTTCAGTCTGTAGAGCTCTAGCTGCTCATGCAGGGACATGATGGTAAAACATCAGTCATCAAGGTTGGTAAAACATTAGTCATCCAGGCATCCCCTCGGCAACGTCCTTGCAGACATCCATTTCTCAGCGATTTGCAGTTTCTCAAGTCGCTTCTGACACAAAAACAAAAATCTGAGAAGGTATGGATTGTTAGTCTTTCTTTAAGCTTTAACACAGTTCTCTGTCACCCCCAAAGCACTCTCTTTAGGCTATAGGCTTTGTTATCCAGCCTTTCTCCCCCAAGGTTTCCTATTGTTCTTATGTATACTGAACATATATTTTGTTTTTCATCATTTACACTTTGTAAGAATGGTAATCTGGAGATGCTTAGCATCAAAATACATAACAAAACATGTTTCCCAGATCAAGCATTAGTTGGTTACCACTATTCTAATATATATAACAAAAATACCACTTGTATAACATAAACAATGATATAATATATATTCAACAACAGTATATAAACATGCTGCACTGTTAACCTCACAGCGACAACAAACAATATGGTGCAAACTTTTAGTACAGTCGTATCTTCTTATAAGTAGCTTGTGGATCAGCCGACCACAATTCAACAACAGTATATAAACATGCTGCACTGTTAACCTCACAGCGACAACAAACAATATGGTGCAAACTTTTAGTACAGTCGTATCTTCTTATAAGTAGCTTGTGGATCAGCCGACCACGACCGGTTTCGGCCTACCTCAGGCCTTCCTCTGGTGGACTGTAATTAATGTACAAATCAATGTTTTACTACAGTAGCATACACATAGAACATCTGTATCATTAAATATCATAAGTTACAATACACTTTAGTACTTCCAAAGTTATACACTTGAACAATAATACATTTGATAATACATTTGAATACTTACAAAATTATACACTTGAAAGTGTTCTCCTTGGGAGATACAATTTTTTTTGTTGGTATCTACATAAAAGGAACAAATGTGGCTATAATTTTTGTAAATTACTAAGTTAAGAATGGTTATTATGGAGAAATATTACAGTATTTTACACATAAGAGAGGGTACTCACATGATACTCTGCTCTAAGTTGAGTTCTGGCTGCGAGTATGGGAAAGGTCTTTGGTATCCCTCCATTTAAAGGGAAAAGAACTACTTCAGGTGAAGCTCAGTTGGAGCCATAGGAGCAAGGGTTGTGAACAGCAACCACCAGATGGCACTGTGGGTGCTCTCCATGTATTTAAGAAGGGATGCATAGTACAATAAAGGTCCAGAAATTATGTGTAACAATTGTACAAATTTGGTTCATTCAAACCATGTGGGTATTCTGTCCTTAATCTAAAAATCCAGTATGCTTCTCTCCGTAGAAGTTTATTGTGGAAATCAATTTGTTGGGAATGAGTGACCATTTCAAGGATATGGAACTTAAAGTATTCTGGGCTATGGTGTAAATCATCAAAGTGTTTGTAGAGTATAGACTCCCTGGAATGGTTTCTGATTTTACTCCTGTGTTCAATTATCCTAGATCTTATCTCTCTGCAAGTTTGACCCACATAGGAAAGATTGCAACTACAAATAAGTAAATAAACTAGTCCCTTTGAGGTGCAGGTCGCAAAATGGGAAAATTTGAACTCAAATGATAGGTGTGGATGTACGAGAATTTTAGTTTCCACCAGTAGCGAACAAACTGAACAATGTCCACAACGGTAGTTGCCGACCAAAACCGACCTAGGGGATGGGATTCTGTGGGTTACATCTGAGTGTACTAATATGTCACCAATATTTCGAGTCCTTTTGTGTGCTATCAGTGGGGGTTTCTCGCATCCCGGGATGTCTCTTATAAGATTCCAGTATTTTCTGACTGTTCTAATGGCCAAATTAGACATGTTTGTAAGAGTAAGTGGCCATATCAATCTATCAACTTCAGGTCTGGTTGTGTCCTTTAAAAGTTTAGATCTAGGAGTATTGGCAACTTTTGAAAACGATGATTGTATGATGTGTTCAAGATATCCTCTGTTTCTAAACTGATGTTTAGTCACTTCAACCTCATCATTGAAATCTTGGGGGGTTGAGAAAATACTGGAATCTTATAAGAGACATCCCGGGATGCGAGAAACCCCCATTGATAGCACACAAAAGGACTCGAAATATTGGTGACATATTAGTACACTCAGATGTAACCCACAGAATCCCGTCCCCTAGGTCGGTTTTGGTCGGCAACTACCGTTGTGGACATTGTTCAGTTTGTTCGCTACTGGTGGAAACTAAAATTCTCGTACATCCACACCTATCATTTGAGTTCAAATTTTTGTTATATATATTTCATTCAGGAACCCATCTATATTATTGTATACCACTATTCTAATGCCAGAAACAAAGAGTTGAATTCAGTCATGCGCAGACCAAATCTTTAATGGGAAAGGTTTAGCCACTAAATCTTGCTTAGAGCAAATCCAATCAAATAAGTCTGGATTCAACCCTGAATTTCTGAAAGGTAGTTTACATTTTCGTATATATCCAAAGATACATCTAGTTGGTTTATTATTGCTCTGTAGTATAGATCAGAATGCACTTCTGCATTCACACTGACTCTGTGTGTGTGTGTGTGTTTGTATAAAGATATCTTTGGATGTTGGATAGGTGAAGGCCTTTTGTAGCAGAATTGTTTTTCATATAATCATAATAAGAATATTTTTCTTCTAGGTAACTAACTGCTGCACAGAATTCACTGAAAAAAGGCCAATGGAAATCAACACTCAAGAGGACTGTATTATAATTGATGGGAAGGCTTTGAAGGCTGGAGAGTGCATTGAGAGCATAACAGACAGGTTTAAGGAAATAGATTCTTTAATGGCTGAATTCCAAGACAGCTTGTAGCACTGATAAGAGAGAAGCTATTATACTATTACAGCTTTAAACTGCATCCTTTTTCACATGTAGCTGGAGATTCTTAACAGTAGTTTAACAATATGGTTAGTTTGATATTCAGTTCATTTTTACTATGTTTTTCCCTGCGTTCTTTGATAAAAATTGATATCAAACTTAGTTTCTGTAGATTACAAACTGCAATTTAATGGCTACAGTGTGTGCTTTTAGAATTTGTTTAATAAAGACGTTTTTCCCTTGGTTTAAGCAAAGTTCATGTTTATAAAAATCAGAATAAAATAAAGAATTATTGTAGTTGAGTTTGAAAATCTGTCAAGCACACATACCACTTCTAGGGGTGTATCTACGTTGCAGAATTAATGCAGTTTGCCATCACTTCAACTGCCAATTACTCAACATTATGGAATCATGACAGTTGTGGTTTGGTGAGACACCAATGTCCTTTGACAGAGAAGGCTAAAGACCCTGAATAACTACAACTCCCTTGATTCCATACCATTAAGCTATGCAAGTTAAAGTGGTGGCAAACTGTATTAATTTTATAGTGTAGATGCACCCTAAGACTTTTCAACAAGATGAATTACAAGAATTTAAGAAAATCCCATAGGAATGACTAATGGGAATTTCTGTTTCATAGGCATTCACTACATTACTGTGAACCAATGATGGATCATACCTTTGTTCCACAAACATATCTATAGAAAGGGGATGCTTGTAGCAGCAATTATCTCATGAAAAAGAACTTCTATATAAGGCTCTCATGAGAAGGACTTCTTCAAGAAGTTTGTATACATCTCAACTGGAGTGAGATTCTGATAATTCCTGTTTAAAAACCTCTGATGTTATAGTAGCCCAAGAGGCTAGAGAACTTTCTGGGAGTAATTTCTATGGTGGGAATTGATGAGTTTTCAGCCATTCTGCATTATTTACATATTCTGATTCCTGATTTATCATGATCTGCTGGTGCCTGACTCGAGACTGTTGACTTTGCTTGTTAGAATATTGCTGCCTACTTGCTGTTGTGACTGCAATGTTCTGCACTGGTTGGACTCCGGGTTGCTTCTTTTCTTTAACATTTTGATCCTCCTTCCTACTGAGTTTTCAGTAGGGATTTATATGTATTTTACTTGAAGTTTATTCTCTGCTTCTGAACCCTGCCTTTTCCAATTTGTTCTAGAGCTTTGAACAGTTAGCCTCACTGCTAAAAAATGCTTACCCAGTTTCCAACACAAATTTCAAGCATTTGGTGACAACAATGAAACATATCAACAAATCACTTCACTTTATTTTTTAATTAGTCGCTCCCCACCAAGGTGCTCCGAGCGACTTACAATCTAAAATAGTATTTCACAATATAAACACATTCACCATAAAAACATTCAACAGTGACTATTTGGCAAATTAGATCTGATTACTTAAATCACATCAAAATGAGATACATCAAATAATACCAAACAGTCTAACTATAAACTTAATACCAAACAAGAATATACCAAAGATCTCAGGATCATAAAACTGAAGAGTTGAAAAGGACCCCAAGGTCCATCTAATTCAACCTCTTCCAAGTGTAGAAGCATACAATTAAAACATCCTTGACAGATTGCTATCCAAACACTGTTTTAAAAAGCCCTCCTATCAAATAGAGCCTACCACACTCCCAAGCAATCCATATCACTACTGCAAAATTCTTACCATTAGCAAGTCCCTCCTAACATTTATTCAAAATCTTTTTTCTTGATTCTTCCCTCTGGCACAGCAGAAATCAGTAGGGGTGTGTGATTTGGCTAAACCCCATGATGTTTTCAGTGTTGGGATTTTGGTCCTCCCCCCCCCCCCAATCTGTTTTTTGGGAGCCTCCTGAATTCTGGTGGGCAAAATTCCATTCTTTGATCTGGCAGCCAAAATATCATTGTTTGCTCCAGGAAGATCTAGCCCATTGGCAGCAATGGGGGAACTTCACAGGTTCCCTTTTCCATCATTTTTTTCCTCCTAATATCCTTCAACTAGACTTAAGAAACCATCCTTTCTGGGATCCTTTTTCCTTATATCCTTCAATAACACCTGGGTTAAAGGCATTAGACTTAAGAAACCATCCTTTCTGGGATCCTTCTCCCTTATATCCTTCAATAAGACCTGAGTTAAAGCATCACACTTAAGAGCAGGGGCGGCTCAACCCATTACGCAAAGTAAGCATTCGCAGTATAGTTGATTTTGCCCAGGGGCGCTCTTGAGGCACTCTTGGGGGAAAATAGACCTTGACATATGTGAGTTGTAGTTACTGGGATGTATAGTTCACCTAAAATCAAAGAGCATTCTGAACTCCACCAATGATGGAATTGAACCAAATATGGCACACAGAACTCCCATGACAAACAGAAAATATGTATCAATGATTGGTGTGGGGTGGTGTGGGGTGGTGTGGGGTGGGGGGCAAAATACTGTTTGCTTACCATTGAAAATTACCTAGGGCCACCTCTGCTTATGAGACCACCCTTTCTTGGATTGTTTTTCCTCAGCACCCTTTCAATGAACCTGAGTTAAGACATCCAAAACACTTATTTCAGTGGGAGCCACACCATCTGAAGGAGCATTAATCATTCTTTAAAAAAGATATAAATTACCTTCTCATTTTATGGCAGCTTTAGAAATGGCAAGAACATACCTCTACTCCACATTTGAAGCTTGCATCATTTGAATGGCACCATCGGTGGCAGTTTCTTAAGTTTGTAGAAAGTAAACTTTTATTTATTGTTATTTGAATCAAAAAGCAAGGCAAGCAATGCAGAGCTGTGATCAGCACTGGGAATGTAGATCACCAGTGGACTGGAGCATGATCTGTCTCTCTCAGAAGTCTGCTTGCAACAGAAAAATGGAGACCCAGCTTGGCTAAAAGACAATTCATGGCTTTCTTCTGTTCTGTTTGGCTCAACAGACAGGACTTAAAGGGAAACCTAATGCGGGTGCATGGCTGCCTCCTTGCACTCTACATGTAGCCAAATGAAACTGAAAGTAGCTGTGGCGGGCAGCTGCATAGTCTGTTGCAGACAAGAAAATGGTGTCAACTGGCCAAAACACAGTCCTAGAAATCAACCTTGCTTTATCTTCCATGTGACAGTCCCTCAATTACTTTAAATTAACTTTCAAATCACCTTTAAATATTTTGTTATGTTCTTATTGTTATAATCAGTTTCCTAGACGATTCCTCATAGGACTTGATTTCCAGACCTTTTTGCAATCTTTGTTATTTTTCCTGGGATCCTGTCCAGTTCATCAATATCCCTCTTATTATGGTGCCCAGTACTGGAAAAGTATTGAAGACACTGAAGTGGTGTCGTCATGTTATCTGGATGATGTACTTCTGTCGCAACATCCTACAGAAATACAGTGTTCTGTGGTCTTCTGAATCTACCATAGATGTCTCCCTAGGAAAATATGTTTTTGAGAACACTGAAACTGAAAGGTAGTTGACCTAATTATTGTACAGCTTTAGAAATTAATTCTGACATCAATTCTGTCTTCATTATTGGGATTCTCAACTGACATTATTTGTTGTTTCCAACATATGGCAAGCCTAAGGCAAATCTATCATGGGGGTTTCTTGGCACAATTTGTTCAGCAAGGGTTCGCCTCTGTCTTTCTCTGAGGTTGAGAGGATATGAGTTTCCCAAGGTCACCTTATTGATTTCCATGGCCATGTGGGGCGTTGAACCCTGGTCTCCATAGTCCTCTAGTCCAGTGCTCAAATCACTATATCACACTGGCTCCTGTATGTGTGTGTATACACACACACACACACACACACAATCCAGAAAGTTTTCCTCATCATGTCTTATCCTTTTCTTTTCTTTCAAATTCATTTTAGGACAGGAATAAAGGGAAGGAAAACCAAACAACTGAACTGTTCAGAAAACACATGTGTGCTTCTTACTCACTTAATGCTATTATGCCACCTGCCAGACATATACAAAACACATGATGTCCCTTTCATGGCCTTTACTTTGAAAGGTTTGTTTTTCCTATGTTTGAATGTCTTCTCACCTCATTGATATATTCTTAGCTTGTCAGAGGAAAGAACATATTAGAAATATGAGTCAACAATGCAGCTTACGCACCAAGGTCTCTTTTCCACATTGGGCTGATGCTTTTTTCCTCTGCCCTCGCAAAACAAATTATTGGTAGATAACTTTGTAGCCAGTTTCCCATTACAGTGTATCTGTAAGACAAACCTACCTTCCTTCCTTCCTTCCTTCCTTCCTTCCTTCCTTCCTTCCTTCCTTCTAAGCTGAGACCCACCCTGAGTGTTTCATTGCATATGGGAGTTTGGAGAAAGAATCAGTCCATACTGACTCAGATCTATGGAGATCTGGTTGCGAAGTGGATATAGTAGACCTTCGATAATCATAAATTGTGCATCTGTGAAGTCCACCATCTACAATAAACCTTGATTTTGTGATATTGTACAAAGGACACTATTTTACTATGCCAATGTACTTAATGGGACATAAGCATCCATAGATTTTGGTATCCATGGAGGGTCCTGGAGCTAAACCCCAGCAGATACTCAGATCTCACTTCATTAACATTTTCTAACACTTCATAGAGTATCCTAAATATAAGATGTTAGTGGTACACAGTTGGAGGGGTAGTAACAGCTTATTTGTATTCCTTTCTTATACTGTGTTGTTTGAATAGAATAACCATTGTACTCCCTCCTTAGTGTTTTCTGCAGAATTTTTAAGTGAAACATAATGAAGTACCTAATAGTCTCTCCAGGCAAGAAAAAAGTCTGTGAAGGTCCCAGGCTTTGCTCCCGTGCAAACTGATTTTCTTTTGGAGATCAATGTGATGTTTTACCTTTCCCAAAGTTTTCCCATTGCAGTCCCAACATTTTCAAGGACTTTTATATTCCACTCCCCAAGTCAGTTTAAATTAATCTGCTGTTTTCTGAAATGAAATGCACCTCCACACTACTTTTTGTTTGTGTCATACAAGAATTAGCTGAGATGGCCACCACCAAGAAACTCCCCCGCCCCCCGGCCCCGAATCCAAATTTCACAGAGATCAAGGAAAGGGAAGGAGAATGCTAATCATCCTGATGCTTAACTAGTATAATATTACTAAAGCCTTTTAACACTTTGATGATGACTCCCGAATTGTAATTAAAGGGGGCCCAGTGCAAATTAGAGAAAGTTAGTTTCTGAAACATTGCCTGAGTCTAGATGTGATACTTA